CAGATACAGAAGAAGCTGGACTTGCTTACATTTGAACCAATTTATATATTTAATACAAAGATAAAGACTGGAAATGAAGAACTTAAATATTTTTAAGGTCTTAGATTAGGCTAACCAATAGCAATACCAACCTTACATTTAAATAATGCAGTTTTACAACAATTTTTTAAAAAATCTAAACATTTACCTCCATCTTACGCTGAAAATATTTTGTTTTGGTAATGTGTCTTATAAGTGTTTCATTAATTCCTGTTGGCATTTCTGTAGAGTAGTAGTTTAGTGACTATAATCCCTGTATTTATAGATGGGAGAAAATCTTGTGCAACCAGTGACACATTCAGTGTACTGAAGACTAGAAACATAATTCAAGCTGTTTCTTTCTTCCATTGTTCTTTTGCCATTTCTATCCTCTTCCACACTAAGCCCTGTGCTGACTTAAAGATCAGTTCAGCTTCTCAAAGGAAGCAGATTTCTTTCCATCTTTTTAGCCCCGTGTAACATACTTCCTGCTTAGAAAACTTTAGGCCACAAACTTGCACAAATATTTTCCCTACTCAACCAAGTCTTCAGCTTTTGGCCAACAGGAAAGTTAGGAGGGAAGGAAGGGAAAGGTGACAGTTATTAGCCAGTGGAAAATTTCCAAAAAATGTTGACCTACTTTACTGCCCCTGCCCCAAAGGCAATTCTTATTTTGCCACAAGACTTAAAAAAAAAAAAAGGCTACCTTTTGAAAATGTTAGCTAGTGGACAGGCTATTTGGATGTTATCAAATAAACCATTTGTTTTGGAAACTGTGAAGAACACATGCCAATTTAATGTGACTGGGGTGTCTAATTTCCAATCATTCTCAAGTCATCTCCTTTGGAACTCCCTCAAAAACTCCAAGTGTAGCTAAACAGAGGGGTACACTCAGTGACAAGGACTTCTCTAATCTACTTCTCCGGTGGAATTTTTAAAATATGCACAGTTACCGTCACCTCTGGTGGACTTTTTTGTAAAGGATACTTTATTTTATGAGATTTATATTTCTTCTCTGAAGTCCATACTGTCAAACATTGAACAGCTTTTTCGGGATCACAGCTTTTTATGGATTCTCCCATGTGTTACATGCTTGTCACTCACATGTAATGATAGAAAATATTAGTGCAAAAAGAGACCTTAAAGGCTGTCCAGCCCATTTTAGTGTTCCTCTTTTGAGGAGTGGAGGAAACAGAACCATTTAATGGTTCTTAATCTGGGGTCTTCGAACTGGTTTTTCCAAAAATATTATAAAAGTATTTCAAAATAATTTGTTCCTTTTGTAATCCCAAATGTAATGCCAAAGGGATCGATACCACATGAAAGATTGAAAATCGTTGCATTAAAATACAACCTTGTCACCATCTCCATTCAAGTCAAGAAGTATTTACTAAGTGTGCTAGGCACTGGGAATACAAAGCAAAGTAGGGTAAAGAGTGTCTGCCCTCAGAATAACTGTAAGGTATTAAATTACCTTTCCCAAGGTCACTGGACTTCTAGTTCTCTTTTACAGTGTTTAGCTTTTGTCACAAGAAACAAAGCAAACTAGTGGTAATATGTGGAAAAATATAGTTTCCTGTCAAGAAAAAAAGAAGTCACTAGGTTTTAATATATGCCCGGCAGCTCTGTCCTGACATAGAATTTTAGGGAAGTAACCTTAGGAAACAACAGCCTATATTACAAAGCACCTGTTTCACAACCCTGTGATATATTACTATATCACAGTTCAAGTATTACTAATCCCACATCTCAGCCTCCTTTGCTGGATCTTCATCTAAGTCAAGCCTGCTAACTATGGATGGGTATGTCACAGGGTTCTGTCCTCTGCCCTCTTCTCTTCCCCCTCTATACCATTAAGCTTGGTGATCTCATCGGCACCCAACGATTCAACTATCATCTCTATGCTGATGATTCTCAATTCTCAAATCAAGAATGACCATTTCCCTAACCTCTCTGCTGACCTCCAGTTTTCTTATCTCCAACTACCTATTGGTCATCTTGAATTACGTATCCTGTAGACATCTTAAACTCATGCTCAAAACTGAACTCATAATCCCTTAAACTCTCCCTTCTTCCTAACTTCCCTATTACTGTCAAGTGATTCTTCCAGTCATCTAGGCTTGAAACCTAGGTTCCATCCTCATATCCTTACTCTCTCACTCCTTCCCCCCATATCTGATCAGTTGCCAAGTGCTGTTGATTTTACCTTCCCATCTCTCCCCTATATGCCCCTTTCCTTCTTCTGACATGGCTCCCCTTCTGGTACAGGCTGTCATCACCTCAAATCTGGACTACTTCAATAGCCATTGGTCTCCCAATCCAGTCTATCCTCCACTCAGCTGTCAGTGATCTTCTTTAGATGCAGGCCTGATCACATCATACACATCCCCCTCCCTTCATACTCAACAAACATTAATCGTTCCCTATTCCCTCCAGGATCAAATATTATATCCTGTTTGGCATTCAAAGCCCTTCATAATCTGCCCCACCTCTACTTCCCTACCTTTTCAGTCTTCTCACACCTCCCCCTCAACATACTTTCTGATCCACTGACATTGACCTCTTTGCTGTTCCTTGAACACTACGATCCATCTCCTGATTCTACATTTTAACTGGCTGTCCCCCTATGCCTGAAATGCTTTCCTTCCTCATATCTGCCTCCTGGCTTCTTTCAAAAGTCCCATCTAAAATCCCACCTTTTACAGGAAGCCTTTCCTATCCTCTTCCAATTTGTCCTGTATATAACTTATTTGTACATAGTTGTTTGCATACTATCAAGACTGTGTGATCTTCTTGAGAGCAGAAACCTCCTTGTACCTTTATTTGTTTCCCCAGCAATTATAACAGTGCCTGGCACATGACAGGCACTTAGTAAATGTTCACAGCCTGAAAAATGAGAAAACAAATTCAGAAAGGTTAAATGATCTTGTTCAGAGTCAGAAAGCTAGTGAGTATCAAAATGAATTTCTGGTTCCCAAGTCTCAGTTTTACCCTACCACAATGCCTCTAAAGATCATTTAGTCCAAACTTACTGTTTTATAAGGGTGCTTTCTCAGTTTCTCAGGGTAGAAAAACATAGTGGGCTCTACTTATAATGCACAAACAATGCTCTTTAAGTAGCTCTTACACAGTAAGAAGTGCGATGGAGAAGGATAGGTGGGAGGATGGTACACAAATGCTAAGTGCTCCTCCCAGCTGGATCTGATCAGTTTGCACTGAATGCATAATATGGAAATCCTTTCCAAAATGTATACCCCAGGACACCTCTACCCTCCACCCTAACAATTTGGTGATTGTTGGAACCCAGATTCTTTTCCAACAAATACCTCTGGGAACAGTTGGTAAAACATTATTGAATCTTTTCTCTAAAGGTGCTAAGAACAAGTTATTAAAGTCAAACTAATTAAAATCAGAACAGTGGGGAGCAAAGATCTCCTAAGCTTTATGAGACATTTGCTAAATCTTATAAAAGAAATTATTCAAGAACAGAGGCTAAATGCTCCATTACTAATAAAGAATGGATTTTAAATTTTTTAAGGCTATGCCATAACATACTTCCTCAAATAAATTGTTTTTAACTTATTTGTGAGCAAGTGAGCCCTATCTCCCCCTTTTCCCCATCCACCCCTCTAGAATAAGCTCCTTGAGATCACTATTTTTCATTTTTGTGTTGCATCATCAGTCTGAAATAATGCTTTGAATACCGCAGAACAAATATTTTAAATACTAAGTTGAACCCCGGCTCTACAGCCCTATTATGAATATATAAAAGGCAATCATCATGTAATCACATCTAGATACTTCTGAGAGATATAAAGGGCACAGAAATCCACTTCCATCCCGTTAATATCCCTAGAGACAGGGTGTGGCAAGACCTAGTTGAGGATCTTTTTATTTTTCAGTCATTTAACAGACAAAAACGCAGGGCTACCCGACCTATTACTTACACGAAAGAGTTATCAAATCAAAGAAATTTCCCCAAATTCAATGAAAGGTAGAGATATAATATAAGAAGTTAAAAAGTATCATTTTAAACATCAACTACTGCAGAATTAATGCAAAAAAAATTATCATTCCGTCGTCGACAAGAACTTTGCAAAAGGGCTCCTTTCCCCTCTAACCTTTTCAAGTAACAAGCCGAACTCCACCCGCCACCCCCAATATAACAGGTTCAGTTCCTAAGCATTTAAACTTGGCTTCTCTCTAATCCCTCAGTTTTCCCATTACGTGGTACAGTCTCTGCCCGCTTTCAGAGGGCAGGCTGAGCCGCTGAAACCCCGGAGGAAGTGCACACTGGGGTCAGTGGCTGACAGCCACAGTCAGCCCTCCAAGCATAAGTGAAAAGAGCTTGGGCGCCTAGGGTTACTGGGAAACTGATAGGATGTTTATTTCATCCTCAGTACCCATGCCCTTTAGGGAAAAAAAAAAAAAAAACACAACCCAACAACAACCTATCCCTGGAGCTCTTTCCTCGCCCAACACATAACTTTACCCTAAGAAGCCCAATTTCCATTTGCCTAACCCCAAAGCTACCCCGCAATCTGCAGGGCGGAACTCGGTCCTCCCCACCCCGCAAAGCCCAGTCCCTTAGCTTCTGGCCCGAGTTTTTCCCAGGACTAGCGTCCCCCCACAACTTCTCCTTCTTCTGGTCCCATCACGACTAACCCAACTCTGCCGGCCACTCCGGCCCCAAGCCCGACCTAAACGGGCGCTCTTTGCCCTGCTCCCTCAGGGGTCCGGGACACCTCCGCCCGGCTGTACCCCCTCATCACCCCCCCCCGACGCCCTCTCCGCTCCGGCCGTATCCTCAGGCTCCGCCCCCCGCCACCCCGTCCCTCCGCCCAGGCTTCCCGGACTAACCACCCGGACCCCGTCTCCCAGCCTCCCGCGGGCCAGCTCCCCAGCACCACGGCCCCCTAGACGGGCGCTCCCATCCCGTCTTCGGCGAGGGAGAAGGGCGGGCGATGGCCGAGGGTATTCACCTTCGGCGGAGCCGCGGCCACTCGGTGCCCCCCTCACTCGGACGTTGGACGTGAGACTGAAGAATGAACGCGAGCTCCCGCCGCACCTGCCGCCTCGAACACTGAAGCCACCGGGCGCTGACGTCAGCCGGGCGCTCTCCAGCGGGAGGGGGAGAGAAACCGGGATCGAAGTCACGGGATCACCCTAGTTACGAGATGGGGCGGGGCCAAGGAGCTGACGTCACAGCGCTCCCCCTCCAGCTCGGTTTACCGGAACCCGACGGAGGCTCAGGGATCCCGGGAGCGGGGAAAAGACGAGGCGGGGCAGAGCCGGGACGGGCACTAGGCTCTTCTGGTTCCTGGCGCTGACGTGCGTGTGCGGGCGCTCGGGGAGAGCTGGGCAATTGACATTTCTCTAGGGAGTGTGGTGGAGGCCAACTCTTTCCCCCCCAGTGATCTTGACCTTACCTGGTCTACTTACCCTCTCTCTGGTTTCTGCTGTATCTTTCCAACAAGAAATTGAATGGTTTAAAATACAAATTACCTTCGTTAAAAATGGCAGCAAGTAATATGGAAATGTTTGGCATAACTTCACGTGTATACTCGATATCAAATTGCTTGCCTTCTCAAGGAGAGAGGGAGGAATGGGAATGAGGGAGAGAATTTGGGACTCAAAAATTTTTTAAATGTTAAAATTTTTACATGTAATTGGAAAATATTTAATGAAATAAATATATTAAAATTCAAAACAACAATGGCAGCAAGAATAAAACCCTCTCTGCTATCTGGTGCTATGCACCTAGCCCAGAGACTGGTGTAAAAATAACGTTAACAACCATAATAATAGTTTCCATTGATGTGAGGCTTTTAAAGTACTTTGAATACATTATCTAATTCTGAAACTGGGAAATCTAGAGTCCTGACTCTTGACTCGGCAGGGAGTGGGGAGCAGGTTTGTAGTTTTAACCCACAGCTGTAAAAGAGACTGGTTTTGACCAGTACTAGCTTGTTTTAAAGTATCTTGTCTTAGCAAATCTCAAAACATTTTTATAAACCCCCGTTTAATAAATGGGAAGCATTTGCCCAAGGGTCTGAAAAGAGCCGACTTCCCTGACCATAGGCCCTGACCACTGGACCGTGGCTGGGGAAATTTGGGTGTGGACAAGACTCCTCCCATTTTGGCATAAAGGAAAATGTACACAGACCCTAACTTTCTTCCCAATACAGAATAGAGCAGGTTTATGTTAATTGACTCTTCTTTCTCCACATTTGTTTTGCTGTAGGAAATCAATTTACTCTCAGGATCTGTCTTCTGCAGTCCATACAGGTGTACATCCTTTTGCTACTAATGGTGCCTGGATTTTGCTATTCCCAGCCGCCTGAAATTGACCATCAACTTCAAATAGAAACTTCAGCCACGTGGGGCGGGGTTGAGTCACTACACAGTGAGTCCATCCTTCTCATTACATTCAGATTCAATCTCTCCAGAAGTTTCACTCCTCCCGCATCTAAAGCGCTTCATAACCTGATTTTGCACACCTGGTTCCGGACTTTCTCGGAACTTCCAGACCTAGTTCTCACTATCGCAGATTCATCCACGAGCTTTCTTTAGAGCCTAGCTAGGCGAGGCTAGCTGTTCCGTCCTGGTACAGCTTATCGCCACTAGGTCTACTGACTAGGTAATCTCTCCTCAAGACCCGCCCTCCTTTCCCCCATTTTGTGAAGGGTCCCAGGTGGTTCACGTTTGTCTAGTACCTCCCTGCCCCCCGTCTTTCTCTGGACTTCAAAACCAATCCACTTCATTCTCCCACACCCCATCCCCACCTCGCTTTTCAGCTTCCTTTTGTGTATTTTCTTCCCCTATTAGAATGTAAACTTCTTGAGGGCAGAGACTGTCTTTATTTTTGCATCCCCAGCTCTTAGTAAGCATTAAATAATTAATAAAATTAATTTAAAAACAAATCCTTCTTTCTTTAGTTCGTTCGCTCGTTCCTTCCTTTCTTGCTTCCCCTATCATGTCTTTCTAGGCTTCTACCTCATATTTCCATATCTTTGTACTGGCTATCCCCCGCCCCCTCCCCGGCTTAGAAGGCTTCCCTTACCACTGGCTCTTAGAAACTCTGACTTCCTTCAGTTCTCCGATTAAATACTTCCTTTTGTAGCAGGCTTTTTCCAGTAGTCCCAACTACCAGTGCCTTCCCCTATAGGATTAACTTCGAGTTCCATCCATTTTTAAATATATCTTACAGGTACCTGTTTATATACAAGTTGTCTCTCCCCATTACAATGTAAGCTCTCTGAGAGTTTTTTGCTTTTTCCTTACACCTCCTAATACTTAGTACCCGGCCTGGGCACATAGCAGGTGCTTTAATAAATGCTTGGGGATTGATGGATGTGTCAGTGTCCTCTGGGGATTTCAGAACCAATGCCCTTCCCTCCAAGTGGAAATAATTATTTTTGTCATTGGAAAGTTGTCTGTGGACCATGGGGTTCGTAGCAACTTTGGTTAAGAGCAAGGGGAACAGTTTCTTGTCAGAGGCTTAAAGAGATGCAGAGGTATCCCCCTACTAGGTATGAGAATTATTGGTTCCATGAAGTTGGAAATGATCCTCTAAAATAAAAGAGATAGAAAAGCATTGATGTCGGTAGTCAGTTACAAATTAGCAAACACTGACCCCTTTTTTTCCTTGCCCTTTCCTCTTTCCCGGCACTAAAATACTGTTGTTTGGTTGCTTTTTTTTTTTTTTAAATTTTGTGTGTGCAGGCATGGGTGTCACACCTGTCCAAGAGGTGAACTTGGATTGTCAAATGCCATGTCAGGATCACCAGATTGGTTTCAGGATAATGCCTGTCAGCTATTACCACTCTCCAAAACAATCTACTAAATTATAGAGAGGCTGCAAGCTGGTATGGAGGGAGTATCTTTACCTACAAAATTATGGGTTCTTTTGAGATATTGAAATATTTCCTCTTTGGTAGAGTTGAGCAGAGAAGTAAGTGATAAGGGTAATCATAGGAGTCAATTATTTCCCTCATCAGTGAGTAAACTGCTTTCTCTCAAAGAAATGAGTACATAAGTTAACTTGGGAGGGGCAAAAATTCTGGCCAAGACTAATGTGGATTTGTTCATGGTACTATGCTACAGTGAGAAAGGAGGTCTGGTTGATAGTGTCCAGGAGATTTAAGGGACTCACCATACCAGCTATTTCCCTATTTTTGCCTCCAGGAAGGCCTGTACCTCACATGCCTGACTTAATTCATTTTCAGGGTTTCAGCCATAAATAACCAGGATATCTTGGCAAGGTTTATGTAGAATGAGTCAATTTCACCATGTTTATTTATGACATTCTTGAAGAATGAACAAAAACACCTTGTATAAGGGGCAAGGCATTATTTTAAAAAAAAATCACTATTCAGTGAAAGATAGATTAAAAAAAAACTTCACTGATATCTTAAGGGCTCTTGTCAAGGCAGGTGCACCAAATATTTAGCAAATAGAATTTCAAAGAAAATGGGCCATTTTGTTTTAGACTTTTAAGACACTGTATTTATGATAATTAGAGGACAGAGACTGGGCCTATGATTTATTTGGCACAAGAAGCTCCTAAATGAGGAAACTCCCTGTACCAAAGTAGGCCTGCATCTTCTCTGCAATTTATAATCTTAGAGCAGAGCCTAGAGCACTGAGAAGCTAAATGATTTACCCAGGGTCATATAGTATAGCAGAAGTGGGAGGCAGGCTTTTTATCCAAGATGCCTTTTATGAATAATAGTAACTTACATTTATAGGTCACATCAAGGTTTATAAGGGCATTCTTATGGCAACTCAACTGAATTTGCATTGGATGGTCTCTTCCTTTATACTTCTGAGAAGAATGTTTTGATGAACATTTAATGGCTATAAAGATTTTAAGTTCCTTGAACTCTCTATCAAAGTACTGTGTATAAATGTATCTATTTTTAATGTAAAACCTTTTGAGACACTGATTACTGAAGTAACCCAATTCCCACCAATCTGAAGTTACTTAGGAAAAGCACAGTAGTCCAAGACATCTTAGCTCTTAAGAACCTTATTCCTTTGTGGTTCTTATTCCTTATTTGAAAGGATTAAGAAAGAAAATATGCACGTGAGCTAGAAATGGGGAACTAGCCTTTAAGTTAATTTGCTCTTGTCTTTAAAGATTTTCGAGTACCATATTGATTTAATCAGCTGTAGTCTTCCTCTCCAAATCTGGGTTATACTTGAGTGTAGCCTAGTGTTGTGTTTTTAGTGGAAGAATGGTAGCAAAAGTGATGACAATGAATGGAGCAGTGGTAATAAAAATGAATAAAATATTTATTTGAATTGCAAAATTTAAAGAATTTTTTAAGCATTTCTTATTTGCTACAAAAACAAATAAATTCATGAGAAACTGATTGTCATAGTATAAAGTGCTAGTTTTGGATGCAGAAAGAACTACATTCAAGTCCTGCCTCAGACACATACTGGCTATGTGACCCTGGGCAAGTCACCTTCACTCCTCAATGCCCCAGTTAAAACCATAAATTTCAGGGGGCAGCTAGGTGGTGCAGTGGATAGAGCCACCAGCCCTGAAGTCAGGAGGACCTGAGTTCAAATGTGGCCTCCGACCAAACACTTGACACTTATTAGCTGTGTTACCCTGGGCAAGTCACTTAATCCCAATTGCCTAAAAAAAAAATACATAAATTGCCAAATGGAAGGAATCTCAACAAAGGACAATTATCTTCCTCCAATAAAATCATAGGGCCTGACCGTGCCCATAAAAAGTACAGATAAATTAGTGTTATTATTTTGTAATGTAAATCTAAGTATGTTTTTCTTGTTAAAGAGATCAAGTTTACTTACCAGCTGTGTGACCCTAGGTAAGTCACTTAACCCTGATTTCCTCCAAAAAAAAATGAGATCAAGTTTTAGGGGCACAACTTATATTCAAACCAATATGCTGATTACTTGATATGCTATACCAATAGTAGTGAAACTTTAAGCTCCTATACCATTTATTTCCTCAACATTCAACCATAAATGTATCCAAAAGGCTGTCATGATTATAGTTATTCAGGTAAACAGTTAAATGCTTGTTTCACAGCAAAAAATTAAAATAATAATAACTGTGATTTATATAGTGTTTTAAGGTTTG